TATATTAGGGATATTGTAAAATTGTATGATATAAATCTTGTATATGTTTCTAGTGAAAATCAGTTAGCTGATTTGTTTACAAAATGCTTGCCTAAACCAAGATTATGTTATTTAAGAGATAAATGTAAAATAATATGTGATTAAGGAAGGATGTTGAGAATAATCACACGTACTCCCCGGTTTATTATTTAATGTCATGTTTTAACCGTAACTGTTTTATACTTTTGCTTAGGTTGATCTGGCAACAGTTGTAGTAGTGTTCTTGTGTCATGGTGTGATATGTAGAAACGTGCTGTTCCATGTGCGTGAAATTCCATCATTTAATAAAGCCTCTACTTAATTATCATCGGCCTCTGATTCACCTTATTTTAAATCTTTACAAAATGAACCTCCTTTTTTGCTGCTTTTTCCAATGCCTAGGTACTGACGGAAGTAAAGTCCACCCCCACAAGTTGAATTCGCTTTCTAATACAATCTGAAAAGTTTAAGTTCTTTACAAAACTTGACTAAAGCAGCTGATGCTAACAAAATCAATTACAGCTCACGGTGGCGTAGTTAAACAAGCACAGTCAAATTCAAACTAAAAATGTGGACTAGTGGTCAAAGATTTTAATTTAATCTGGCTCAGTCAGTCTATAAACTCTATCATATGAGGAAATAGAAATGGGAAATTATAGTAAAGGCTGAAGTCATAAACAATTGGGTAATTTATATAACAATAACTGCACATATCTTTGAAGAATAATTTTCTTTATGTATTCAGTTTCTTTCTTCAACACGTTTCCTTTTCATTTTAGAATTTCTGGATTTAATTAAGGATTTCTGTTCTAAAAATCACTAAATGCATTTAGAATGTATAGAAAAAGGGGCTAATTTTATTTCTTTAGTAATATGAACATTCAGAAGAAATATGAAATATATATGATAAAGGCCGGTTACAGAGCTCATGTGGCAGAATTTTTAGAATTTAGTAACACATCGAATAACAAAATCTAAAAATGGCAAAACTTTTAGAATTTAGAGCAGGCACTGGAAGAATTTAGAAAGGCATTAGGCAGCAGAATTTAAGATCCACAGAGATTGCATCAAGTGGGAGAATACCTTGTGCCAGCTATGTGTATGATGCATTAAGACATATTCGATGAATTTTTGGTACTTTTCTGTTTCACCGGCGCAAATTTCGCCAAGCATATTTTATTGGCGACAACACACAGTATACACATAAAAAATTTTAACAGTTCTAAGAAATTTTTATTTTAAAGGTATGAACATTTTAATAAAATTTTGTAAAAAGACATTAATTTAAGAATTTACTATGCTTCCATGCTACAACACCCTGATTCACAGTTTCTTATCACGTGACCCCAAGTGATCTCATCTCACGAAACTACGCTACAAAAATCTAATTTTCTCAGTAATTATCTACATTAATTTAAAGTTAAACCTTAATTTGGAATAAAAGTTTAAATGCAAGAAATATTTCAATTCATATGAACAGCTTACTCCGAAATTTAATTAAAACCGCAGTGCTTTACTAGTGCTAGTGCATTCTCATTAGAATTGAAAAATTTAACCCTTGACTTTGACTTTTCTATATTTTCGCCTTCGGGTGAGCAGTGTGATTGCATCCTAATTGTAATTACCGTGAATGGCCTTAGGGTATAAAATTGAACTATCTGAGTAAAAGCTCTATGTAATTGTATACCAGTGTTGAAAGAAATAATCAATCTGATAAGAACTGGATGCGACTTGTTTTGAAAATAGGGCGTAAAAGATTACCAGCAAGGATATTTCGTTTGGTATCCATTGTACCATTTTTGGCGACTTTATCACTTGCACCGGCAAAATGGAAAAGTACCGAATTTTTTAAATTGTAAGTTTTCAATTTCTTAATAAAAAAAATCCCTTTATATAATGCCTGCCCATGTGATAAGATTAGAAGCATTTTTGATATTTTCCATGCTTGTGTCTAGTGAAAAGTAGAGAAAATAAAGATAAAATAAACATGTTAAGATTCTAGTATCAGAAGTAACACATTCAAATATTGTGTTTTCATTCTTCCAGATGTTCTCCAAAAAGTAAGAAATTCATTGCAAACTTTCTGTAAAATACATCCATTACGTGTTGATACCATGGAGACATTTTTCATTTTGTCACATATTTCTCGAATCTTCTAGAATCATGGGTCTATAAATTTTGCCTTCAAATACTTCTAAACTTTCAAGCTACAATGTCTAAAATTCAAAAAGAAAAATTATTCCTACCATTTCTGTAACAGCAAAAAGCCATAAATATTTTGGAAAAAAGGGAGGGAGAGAAAAAGTGTAAAATTAATTTTATAGCGAAAACTGATGCACATTCTGAGAATATTGAATATTCTTACATAATTACATGGGAAAAAAATCTTACTATGAAAAAATTGAAAAGAACACATTTTGAATTAATTACATAGCTAATTTTGCTTTTTCTAAGAGCTGTTTCGTTAACTGTGCTTTATAGCATTATGCCTTGTTTATTTTTCAGATTTAAAATATTGTATAATTGCCAAAATGAAACTTCATAATATGACAGCGAAAAATAAAAATGTTTTATTTTAATGTTATTTTTTAAATATAATTTCAATATATTACCATTATTTTACTGAAATTTATCAACGTTACGTTTTTAAAAAAAATTGTTGAAAAATTCTCAGATCTCGGAATTAAAAATTTTCTATAGAAGCTGATCTTAAAATCGCCAAAATGTTGAAAAGTCGCCAAATTTAGAACTGTTTAATAAAAGAATTCACATCCCTAAAAAGTGAAAAGTTGTAAGAGCTCTTTATTAGAAAAAATTACTTTCCAAATGCTTATGTTTCACTTCTTGCTTAGAAACTCGAGTATCCCATCATTTATATTAGAAATAGAAACAAATTATAACTCATGAACCCATTCCTCCAAAATGCTAATTCACACTCAAAATGGCAGTCAGAGAAACAGACAGAAATTTCAGATGATTAAAATTAAGTACCTTCTGCTGATTTTGGTCAAAATTAAGGACTTTTAAGGACCAAAAATCCATTCCAAAAAATCAAAAAACATGAATGCAGTACCTTTAGTGCGGGCAGTAATCACCACCCAAATCTATGATTTCCTGCTAATGTTTTGGAAGTTTTTCAAAGCCCAAAAACTTGGTGGCCGAGTGTCAAAAAACATTTTGGACGTCCTGTGCAAAACAGAAGATAGCACCAGCAAGATGTAGCTAAATGTGTGAAAAAAAGTCCAAAGGAGTGATGTCGAGGCTATATAGTGGTTGTCGCAAAACCATTACAGTCCATACAGAGTCTAGCTGATGAATGCAGACACATGTGGTCTTGCATTATCTTGACAGAACATCACCTTTTTGTGTCGGAATTCAGTTTGATGTTTTTCTTTGAAAGCAGCATCAATACAGAATAGCATCTCACTATACACCTTACTGTCGAGGTTTTTACCTTTTTCCAGATACTCTTTGTGGAGAATACCATGGTAATCCTACCAGATACAAAAAAATTATCCTTTTGTCAGTCAAATTGCACTTTGTGAAGCTGCTGACTGGCTCACTGCTCCTTTTCGGCCTGTGTTGTTGAAGTAAGTCCACTTTTCCTCACAAGTGATAAACTGGTCCAGAATTTTATCCTTGTGTTAATATTCAAGCAGATTAGTGCAGGGCCAAACAAGTCTATCCTTATCTGCTTGAGATGCAACTAATGGAATGGCATTAGCAAACTCTCAAGGAGTTGCATACTAATCTTCTTGCACAAGTTCTTGCAGGCGGGTCTCATCAACATCAGTAGGCCAGCTAGAGCTATCTGCATCTTGAATGTCAGAGTTCTTAATTTTGAACTTTTGGTACCAAACCTTCACAGTGTCATATGATACCCCCTTTTCGGCCTGTGTTGATGATGTAAGTCTACTTTTCATCACAAGTGATAAACCAGTCCAGAATTTTGTCTTTGATATTCGAGCAGATTAGTGCAGGGCCAAACAAGTCTATCCTTATCTGCTTGAGACAGCTCATGTGGAACCCAGTGATTGAACTTGCATGTCAAGTTTATGCGATGCATAGCACAACTAATGGAATGGCACTAAAGTCTTACTCCTTAGCGGGTTCTCGAGGAGTTGCATACTGATCTTCTTCGACAAGTTCTCTCAGGTGGGCCTTCATCAACATCAGTAGGCTGGCCAGAGCGCTCAGTTTCTTGAATGTCATAGTCTTTGTTTTCGAACTTTCGGTACCAAAACTTTGCAGTGTCATAATGATATGACATAGTACCTAAAGTTGTACACATGATTTGGTGACGTTCTGTAGCTGACGTTTTGCAACAGAACTGGAAGTAAATGATGGTTCTTATCTGGTACTGCAATAAGTCCATTTCAGACACCTTGCGCTTAATGATAAAGATATTTTTTACAAATTTCACAACACAGTATTCTAAACCAAGTCTTGTTCTTTCAAATGCCAATAGTCATTTGACAAAATATGATATATCACGGCAATGCGAACTGTTTGTACAGACGTTATTTGTGGTAGTGGGAAACTTTCATTAAGACCCAATATTTCAACACTGAATGCATCATCACTTCAAATTCTTGAGCTGCTACTCTATTTCCAATTTCTTCACTACAGCAAGCAAAAATTGCCTTAAAAAAGTGTGAACAACCTCAGTATACCCTATATAAATAGTAAATACTTCTATACTTTTTTAATTTCTTTCAACTTTTGCACCATTCTCCTCTTCCTACAGGACATATTCTTATTTGGGTACAGCCATTTTAACATAAAATTACCATTCTAAGGTTAACATAAATTTTATTTTTATATTGTATCAATAATGGTTAAAACTATAAACTCTAAAATAATTTCGATAAATGCTGACATAACTTATGAATTCACATAACACATGATAGGACATTACCTCAACTGTAGCATTATTTATTATATCTGGATTAATATATTTGTTAATTTATTATATACCTTACCCTCTATCAATCAAGGCAATATTATTACGAAGTTCTAGCTTATTTATAGGAGCACTGCAACCATGAGAAGGCTCAGCTACAACAAGGCCAACATTTTGAAGACTATCATTCTACGGATGGATAAAGAAAAAACATATACATAGGTATAACTTGTATAAATTTATTAAATCATAAATTGCATAAATCTAGTATTCATTTTACATAAGTAACATACAACTCTTACATAAGTAACTCTTACAGCAAGTTAAACAATTTGATAAAATTATTAACAAATTGATAAAATTGACTGCTGGATACAGATGCAGATAAGTCAATGAAAAAAATTAATATGTAACATTAAAATATCAAACAGATAAAAACAAAGTTCTCAATTCATCAGGAAATATAGAGTATTTTGACAAAATTTTCTGCAGACTCTCAAACTAATAAATTAAGCTATTTTACTAATCATTAGATATGATAGCAGGATAAAATAATTATCCATTCAGTCTGTGGCAACACACAAAAATTTTAATGAATGACCACAGATACTGAAACCTTTAGCATTTTTTCATAACGATCTGCTCTCACTATCCAACTAGAGTACACTCACCTGGATATAGGACACCATACAAATATACCATTTGTAAAGTCCTGGCCTTCAAATGCTTAAATTTACTGCAAAAAGCCAGATTTTAAATCAATGTTGCTTATAAAATTTATGCACCTAAGTTCTTCTATTATGGATTTCACCATTCTCCTACTACTGACGCCAACGTTATTCTTTCCGTAATTGCTGCTTTTTTTTTGTTTAGTTTCAGTAACTTGTTTTCTCTGTTTAAAATTAAATTGCACTGTACTGTAAACTTACTTTGTTTACAATACTTTTTATTCTCTTCATTCTTTTGTTTTTGCCCACCTGGACCATTTACTCAAAGAATAACGGTGATGAGAGGATCAGAATTAAAGTATTAAACAATAATTTTAAACATTATCTTAGAATCTGAACTTCAAAATGGAACAACATGGTTCAAAATGGATAACAACATGAATTGACTTTGGTTAAAATTTTAATTTAGTTTCAGAAGAGGAGGGAGAAAACAATGTTCCTCTTCCCGACTTATGTCTGTTGCTTTAGAGTAAGCAAGCATATTGAGGACATTTTTCTCTTACTGGCTTTGTTTCCATAGTAATGATTACTATGGAAGATAGCCAAGTCCTCTAATTTACTTCAAAACCCCTTCTGTGGATGATGACAACACACCTTACAATTGTAAATGAAGCAAGGGTCACAGTGACCTAGTGTGCTTATTTTAAAGCAACACTATTGCTCCATAGCTTCAGAAAAAAGGCTGTCATTTTCAGATGAAGAGGAATATGTTATATATATATATATATATATATATATATATATATATATATATAATGATGTCTTGATTTGCCAGTCATGAAATTCTGATAGTGCTATTTTTTAAAAGCTTTATAGGCAAAAAAAAGCTAATTAGGTTTCTGATATTTAAGGTGAAAATAAGTCTCAATGAAAAAAATATATGTATAGTACTAAAAGCTGACATAATGATACGTTTAAGTACTATAGTAGTCTCTAACTGCGGCCCACAGGGCATTCGCAGCTCCCAAAGCAATTATATGCAACAGAGAAACATATTTTTTTATGTATTTGTTGTAAATACGGTGACAAAAATTTGCAGATCAATAAGAATATGAAAACAATAACTAAAACAGGAAACTTTATTCATGGAACAGCTCTGAATCACTGAATGTGTTGCATGGTTTAGCAGATACCAAAAGCAAGTACAGTGAAATTATTTTGTACAGCAAGGTGAGTTATTTATGTCAAGGCGATGTAATAAAAAGTTTTTTGATTACTAAATTAAATAAAAATTTTATAACACAATAAATAAATAAAATCATTGATGAGGTATTTAATGATACGCGGATACCATATTTATCATTTTTCATTGACTTAACTGGACATTAAATACTCTCAAAAAAGAGCTTAGCTGCAAGTAAGAATAAACTTATGACTGACATGTATGCTTGTATTAAAACTTTTACAGTTAAACTTCTCCTATGAGAAATCCAGTTTAAATCAAAATATTTCATAAGAATATTCGATAAGAATTTGAGGAAAGATGTGATTTTAATAATTTGTAGCCCACATTAACATTATCTTCCTTACTATTAAAATGAAAGTAAATAAAGCACTAGAAAAACAAGAAATGAAGCTAATTAATTTACCACCGTGATGCAGATGTTACTCAAGGATTTGAAGATACAGATTTGATTGCAAGATGATTAACTTTCATTCGTACTCGACAAAAAATACATAAATTTGATCAGTTATGAATTTTGCAGTAAGAATAACATAACTGCTTGGGTCGTTTTCCTGCAGTTGAATTCTCCAAGGATACAAACTTTATCAGAATCAAAAGTGATCAAGTACCAAGCTGTATTACGAAATGAAGTTTGTTTACATACAAATATATGCAATTTTCCTACACATGTCAAAGAAAAATTTAATAAACGAAAGAAAGAGGGTTGTCTTTATTTATCCTCAATTTTTTCCTACTTTTAGTGTTTTCTCTGAAAATTTGGAAAATCTTAATAAACTATGTTCAATTAAGTAAGTTATTTAGTGGATAATTTCGTATATTAGAATAATTTAAAATAAATGTTCGTCTGAAAATTTAATACTTAACTGCCAATATGTTTTAATTTGCGAAGCATAACAAACAAAAATATCTTGCAGTTACCAACATTTTGATTTCAGATAGAAAATACCTTTCTTTGCATTTTTTATTATTGTTTATTGTATTTTGATAAATATACATAAAGGATTAAGCACCTAAAGAAAATAGAAAACACAATTTAACCGAAAGAATTAATCTCTTAATTTTAGCCAGAAAGAAGGAAAAAATTATAAATTTGAGATACAAAAGGATAGAGAAACAAATTCTAGAAAATACAACTGGATAATGAAATAAAATTTCAATTAAACCATATAGGAGAAAAATTAAATTAAAAAAATATATTTTCCAAACACAGAAACTTACACATATGCACCATATGTACCATCAGTTTCTAAATGGATGGTGTGTGTATGTGTCTAAGATATAATAAAATACAATAGCTATTTTAAAAATAATTCCCGATCTCAAAATTAACGATTATAGATTTGATGCTTCCCTCCCCCTAAATTCATCTGTTCTCCCAAATTTGACATTTTTATATGTTACATATCAACCTCAAATTAAACAATCATAGCTTGTCTCTACAATTACATCAGACTTAGTATAAATACTCCTGGCACAAAAAACTATGTCATTCCTTTCTATAGCTTCCTCGCTGCAAAAACCTCTGCACTGCTTATGTTGTCCTATCCAAAATGCTTATGTCATACTTTTAAAAACCATGCATATGGAAATTATTGTGTTCTCACTTATGATTAAAAAAAAAGATTGTGTCTGCAAAAGGTTGATTTTTGATATCTGCAAAAATAAAGATTGGTGACTTGTCAGAATCTAGTTTTGTCATCTTCATCTCATCTTGCCACTCTCCCATGATGACTACACATCAAAATTATTACATATATGTGTGCGTTAGAGGTATATGCGGAGTAAAGTATATATTACATACAGACTAATTTTGTTTAAAAAAAAGTTGCATCCCATCAGCTAGTGTCAGATCATGTATTCAGCCCGCCAGCAATTTGAGACCACTGAAGTACTGCATGTTTTTAATGGCAATACAGTCAAAAGTCGTTAATTCGGAGACCCATAATCCGGACCTCAAAGCTAAAATCTTTCTGCGCATGCACATAGGCATTTTACTCGTGCGCCCAAGACATTTACGACTGCGCATATGCGTCTTCGCAAGTGCAGAATATGTTTTCGCGTGCGCGTTTAATGTATAACGGACGGTATAAGCTAAAATTATCTAATTATCTATTTCAGTTAATGTTGATGATTGCGTTGTTCCTTAATTTTCGAATTGGATCCGGCTTATTATTTTTTGCAGACTGTAAGAGCAATTTTCTAAAAGTAAGCTTGAACTTTTGATTATGTCAAATAGAATTTCCGATGCTGGAGCTCCCAAAGGATCTAGAAAACGAAAGTATGTTTCGATGTCCATCAAACAAAAAACGAATTGCTACAAAAAATGGATAAAGGCATATTCTTTGTTTATCTAACCGTTCCGAAATCTGTTTATCAATTTCAGGCTGCTCTGCGTGGGGGGGGGGGGGGGAAGACGTCGCGGCGCGCAATGAACTGGAAGTTGATTTGTCAACACTATCGTTATCTTCAGAGCAGATGTTTTTATTTTATTCGGCTTATAATTCCTTACTAAATGTAGTATTTAATTTCGATGTACTCCATCTTTGATATGATTTAAATCAAATTCCTCGTCATTATAAATACCACAAATACAAATCAAATAGTTTTCTGGTTGCAATTTTCTAATTTCGGCTATGCGTAAGGTATGCTTTACGCATCCGCGCGTTGAAAGAAATGTTTAATAAAGTAAACAAATAAATATTAGGCTTCTTTTTTGGTAAATTTTGATACCCTTTAGATCATAATTGCTCATTATTTTATAAATTACGGTTTCATATTTTTAATTTTATAATTTCTGCATGCCATCTTACCAGATTTAAACTGATGATCTATAATCCGGAAAAATCGATAATCTGGAATCGCCGAAGTCCCGACGAGTCCGGATTAAAGACTTTTGACTGTATTTGATGCTAGTGAAGAACATTTCTAACTTTTTTATGAGACACAGCTATTAAGCCTTATATATTGAAAAAAGAAATCAAGTATCATTTATTTCTTTCAATAGGTTTTGATATAATTCAGGTTTCTCTGTATATTTATGACATATAAAACGATATAATTTTTAAACAGAATGTTGTTAGGTATTTAACGCCACTACTTCTACTAAGTTATATGTTGAATATTTAAAAATGTCAATATTTATTTTAAAATACTTATTTTTCTCTGTGTTATGCAAATTTAATAATTACACTGTTCAAAAGCCTACCTACATATTAAATCACGCAGCTTATATGGTTGTTTTTGCCAAAGTTCTTATGGATAATTTTATAATGAAG